CGCCAGCTCCTCGCTGTCCCTTGAAGAATGCAGAGCGGCGGCGGGGGCGAGGAGGTGATTGAGTAGTCAATAGTGCTACCCGATAAGCTCCTGCTTATTGAGTAGTTGACTACTCAATCACATCCCTAGTCCCTGCAGGGCATTGGTTTCAAGCAAGTCGCACAAGGTTTAAAACCACGTGGAACTAGCATCCCCTCCTCAGGAGGGGAGAGATAAGTGAAAACTCTGCTAATACTATCTAATTACTTAACTATTTACAATACTTAAGTGCACACCTCATCTGAATGCACATGAGCAAGCTCTCAAAGAAGAACTGGAAGTGATGTCATATTATGACTTAACTAGCATCACAGAGACTTGGTGAATCAGCCTGACAACTGGATCAGCTTGATCAGAAAGGGCAGACAGGGTAAAAAGGGAGGAGGAGTTTCATTATACATCAAGAATATATATACTTGTTTCCAGTGAGGCTGAGAGCAACCATGGGCTGGGGAAAGGTTGGGGGGACAGCTCTGTGCCCACAGAAGTGGCAGGGCTTCAGGCAGAAGGGACAAGGCCAGGGCAGGCAGCCCTCAGCACTGCCTGGACCGCAGCAGACCCTCAGAGCCATGCAGAACACCCTCTGCATCTAATCAAAACACTGCTACAGGTCATCCCACAAATTCTAGTTCTGACAATCTTGCAGCCCACTGAGATGCAGGAGGGCCACTAATGTGGCCCACTCACTAGTCTAGTGGCCCATCGCTGAGCTAGATTTACCTGGCCCTTCCATAGTGCAGGGAGCTGGATTTGATGACTTCTCAAGGGCCCTTCTAGGCCTGCATTTATGTGATTAAAAGTTCACATGTCACACTAGTAAAAACTGTATCCAACTTCCTATCATCTAGCCCAATCAAGATATAGAGTAGGTGCACCATGGATTGGCTGAATTACAGAGGGCCACTGTCCCTCAACACTGGGCACAGAGAGCTATGGAAGAGAGAACACTTTGTCCAAGAGGCCTTTATCAAGTAAGCACTTTGCATCTTTGCTATTCAGCCTGCAGTCAAGAGATAACCCTGGATTTTAAGTCCCAAAGCCTTAGCAGAAGGGCCCTGCTTCCTATTTGGACTCAGCAACCGCTGAGTGGGATCAATCAACAATCTAATGTTATTTACCAATGGTTAAGAACATAAGAAGGGCCATATTGAGTCAGACCAAAGGTCCATCTAGCCCAGTATCCTGTCGGCCGACAGTGGCCAATGTCAGATGCCCCAGAGGGAGGGATCACAACAGGTAATCATCATGTGATCCCTCTCCTGTCATCCATTTTCAGAGAAACAGAGGCTAGGGATACCATTCCCACCCATCCTGGCTAATAGCCATTGATGGACCTAACCTCCATGAATCTATCTAGCTCTTTTTTGAACCCTTTTAAAGCCCTAACCTTCACTGTATCCTCTGGCAAGGAGTTCCAGATGTTTGCCATCTTGCTGCTCGGAGCATCTTTATTAGGTCTCTCATAAGAACAGCTTTAAAAAAAAACAAGAACCAGATCTAGTCAAGAGGTCTAGGAGGAAAGGAAGAACTAGGCATCATGGTTGTATAGGCTTTCTCTAATCTGAATAACCAGGTGCCACATGTCAGGAATGGCCTGCTTTCTGCTACACATTACAGAGGTTTTACCATCAAAAGATACATAGGCAGAGTGCACTTACCATGTACATTGGTGAGCCACACAATGTTGCTGCCATCATGTTGCTTTGCAGGTAGCGGGCAAATCCAAAATCAGCTACAAATAGAAAGAAAAATTCATTCATCAGTTCTAGAGAAACATAATATTTTTTCATTGTATCCCATGCCTCAATCTGCAGTGTGGGCACCTCCTATTTCTCTGTGGGTCCTCCTGTTTGTCTAAAATCCATCAATACAAGGGATATTCCCCATTTTGAACACAAGACTTGTACTCTAGCCCTCAGCTAACCTCAAGTTTCTCTCATTCTTACTACGTGTTCCATACAACAAAAAGGGTTAAGAACACAAAGCTATAAAAAGCACTCTGTGTTAAAAGGAATGAATCCCAATCCCAATTCACTGAAAGGTGTTTATAGTCACTATTTCTCTTGTGTCTGTTGTTCCAGGTTTGCTCTTTGACACCAGCAGCCTACGATGGAGCTCCGGGCCGGCTCTACTGAGCGTGGGGCCCGATTCCGGGGGCGGGGCCGCACATGCGCAGGGCCCTGGGCGACACGGTGCATTCGTCGCACACTGGAGGCACAACACATGCACCATGCGTCCCAGACATCATGACACATACGCCGTACGCCCAGGGGGCCCCGCACAAACATTGTGCTCCTGGCGCACTGTGCATGTGCCATGTTCCCAGCGCATGCATCGCTTCCCTGGGTGCAGGGTCCCATCAGGCGCGGGACCCCACGCCAGGGAATCGGCCTAAGATCGGCCCTGATGGATCTATGCCACTCTACACTAGCTAAACAGCTAGTCTAAGAATTACAAATGCGGTGAAGGTCCAGCAGAGCTTGATAGCTTTTCCCTCATTTCCTGCTGCTACTGTAACCCACACACCTAGTGGGTGGGGTTCACTGTTCCAACTTTATAGCTCAAGCTGTAGAGGCTCCTACAGCAAATGCCAGAGGTCCCAGGTTCAAATCTGCCTGGTGGCAGTTACACTACCACAACTTCAGATTTGGAGAACTCCATGACATAGGGCAGAAGGCAGGGAGGAACCACAAACATCAAGGAGGGACCACCACCACCTTATTTTTGGCTCTATGGCACTTTTTATGTAGAAGATCTACAACACTAATACCAAGATATTGCTAGAACAATGGCTTTCTATAGAGCATATACAAATAAAACTAAGCCATTCATTTATCCTAGAAAAGACAGAGTCTATACATGCAAACAGCATTTACATCTGCAAGTTACTCAGCATCTGATCATATGATGCTAAGAGGTTCCCTTAAGGTTACTAGATATTTCAAGCAAGAGTTATTTGACATGGCTGTTTATATTGCCATCTGTCATTGGAATGATATTATGTCTGACTAATCCCTCTCCTGGACCACACACTGGCCTTCTTAAGGAAAGGGGCAGGGAAGAGTTTAACAGCAGCATGCATAAAGGTAGAACAACTGCACACTAATGCAAACTAATACATATCAACTAGGACTGCTGTGTAGTTGGCCCTCCCTTTTTATGTGCATGTGGGTCATTTCACACTTTGACTTTCTATCCATGCTTGAATTTTGGAGAATGCTGCAGCTGTAACTGAGTAGATGCAACATTCACCCAGTCTTCTCCAGCAGATCTCACTGCTCAGCTAAAAGGCACTAATGCTTTCACCACAAGCCAGAGTTGAAACAGAGCTTGATCTAATTATTTAATTGGTGTAAATTATTTAAGTCAATTGAATTATTTAATTCGGTTTGGTCAGCTTGCAATATAGTCCCAGCGAATGTCCATGAATCAAGATGTGACTATACAACTCTTCTTTAAGAGAGATATTGGGTTCAATAGTTAGGTTTCTGGTTGTTTTCAAATTATGTTATTCACTCTTTCATTTCAATTACTTTTTTATTATTGATTTTATTATAGATAGCTAGATAGCTAGATAGATATTTTATACTCGATAAATGTTTCCACTACAGAAAAGGTTAGACCAGCAAATTTTCATGACTGGGGAATGGATTTTCTGAAAATGTCTTCAAAAGGGTAAAAGCTTAGAAAAACCTGCCAGAATGCTGGAATTCAGTTCTTTATAAAGTCCCTTGCAAAAATTTAAAAAATTAAGGAAAAAACATAATGCCCAAGATGATTTATTGATTTTCAGTTTTTCCCTTAGTCTCTTTCCTGTAACCCAATGATCAACATATGTTACAAGTCTCCCTCTGTGCTTGATGCACAATGGATGTGGGTCCATCACATCCAGACTGGTTCTTAATCTAAAGCTGTGTGCTTGCATTTTTAGCTCTGGAGTTTCTGATTCAATCCCTGGTATGAGCCAAGAAGGCAGCCATCACACGTGTTATTTTTTTAAAACAGACCTCAGCCTTCATGAAGTATACAAGGATCACAGTCCTGAGACACGAAAATTCCCCACCACTCCCACTTTACCTTGCCAGCATGCCAAACCTCTGTTTCAAAAAGCCAGGACAAATCAATATCACTGCCTATGCAACTTCTTGCCACAGGGGAAACTGAATGGCCATTTTTTCTGAGAAAGATACCGATCAACCTGTAGCTGAGAAGAGTTCAAACAGCTGAATTTGCATATGTCACTGAACAGCCACGACAGAAGAATTCTGTCACTGGCTGACAAGGATAGATTGGATCTAACGATCTAGGCCATCACAAAAGTAGCAAAAGAGGTTATGTTTAAAAACAGAAGATATTCCAGTTAAAGCATGCTAAGTGATGTTTAAAAATGTGCTAACTATTTTCCTAATCTAGAAAGAGCCCAAGGAATGAAAGGCTCTATAACTGAATACCTATCCATATAACGCACATAACAACCCACAATTTCATTTAAACCTCACAAGGAGTTTGGGTGGATGCAACTAATCCCTTAGAATTTAAGGCTTAACCACAGTATTCTATAGTGGAGCACAGTGCTGATCAGCATCTGCCTCTTTTGAAAGAAGGGTAAGAAACAAAACAAGTGGGTACAGGGGACAGACATTTCATTGATATGAGCTAGCTCCCACTAGCTCCAGTAACATTACACCTCTGCATTTCCATCTGCAGGTTACTCAGCATCTGTATCTGATTAGCTGAAGGCCTGACCTTGAGAACTATCCAGAGATCCCACTGCAATGGCAGAAAACTAACCCGGATCCCCTTGTGATCAGTTCACTTGTTCCAGCAGTACAGATTGACTAACTAGCCATTTCCAAAGCCATGTGAATTGTTTCCAGACACAATGAAAGGTTCTTACCAATCTTTATTTAAATGTTGTTAGGATTGGACTTCTTGCCTCCAGCAAAAGAAAGGAGAATATTTTGCGGCTTCAAATCCCGGTGGATGATACCTTTGCTGTGTAGCATTTTCATGGCACCTGCTATCTGCTGAAGAAAGAGCCTGATGGTATCTTCACTAAGCGTCCGCATAGCTAGAAAACAGACAGACAGAACAATTGTAAAATCAGCCACCACTCAGCAAAGCAGAAGCAGCTTCTCCATAGAGATGACCAAGGGTACCTCTGGATCCAGCAGTGGGCACTACCAGTGAGAAAGTAACTAGATGTGCCTTTTTTAAGCCTGGTTTGTAAAGAATATCCCTTAAAGCTGTGGTCACTAACTCGTTGATCACGATCGACTGTTCGATCGGGAGGGCTCGACCAGTCAATCGGGAGGCGTCGGGGGCCCTCCCATTTCTTCCCACCCCCAAGAAGCCCAACTACCTACCTCCAGCGACAATGGAGGTAGTGCTGGCTTCCTGCAGGGTGGAAGGAAGTCCGGCAGCTGTGTGCTACTTCCGGGGTTTCAGGAAGTGTGCTGGCTGCTCCCCCTCCCTCAAACAGCTGGCGCAGTACCAGACCCAGGTCTGCGGTGTTCCAGGGACTTGCTGCACAGAGGGGGGAAGGGAGGTAGGGGTCCCTAGAGGAGGCTGGTGCCAGGGCTTCCCTTCTCTGGAGGGGAAGGGGGAGGGAGGGAGGGAGGAGTCCCGGGAGGAGGTACATGCCAGGACTTCCCTCCTCTGCTGTGGGGGGCGGAGGAGTCCCCGGAGGACGCACGCACTGGAG